AAGGAGCATTCTTCCCCACCATGGACCTCCAACGTAAGGAGCATTCTTCCCCACCATGGACCTCCAATGTAAGGGGCATTCTTCCTCCCATGGACCTCCAACGTAAGGAGCCTTCCCCACCATGGACCTCCAATGTATGTAAGGGGCATTCTTCCCCCCATGGACCTCCAATGTAAGGAGCATTCTTCCCCCCATGGACCTCCAATGTAAGGAGCATTCTTCCCCCCATGGACCTCCAATGTAAGGAGCATTCTTCCTCCCCATGGACCTCCAATGTAAGGGGGCATTCTTCCTCCCCATGGACCTCCAATGTAAGGGGCATTCTTCCCTCCCAATGGAGCATTTCTTCAATGTAAGGGGCATTCTTCCTCCCATGGATCTCCAATGTAAGGAGCATTCTTCCTCCCAATGGACCTCCAATGTAAGGAGCATTCTTCCCCCATGGACCTTCAATGTAAGGGGCATTCTTCCTCCCATGGACCTCCAATGTAAGGAGGCATTTTTTCCTCCCATGGACCTTCAATGTAAGGAGCATTCTTCCTCCCATGGATCTCTCAATGTAAGGAGCATTTTTCCTCCATGGACCCATGGGGGCATTCTTCTTTCCATGGACCTCCAATGTAAGGAGCATTTTCCTCCCATGGATCCAATGTAAGGAGCATTCTTCTTCCCGATGGACCTATGTAAGGGGCATCTTCCTCCCATGGACCTCCAATATAAGGGGCATTTCTTCCATTCCATGGACCTCCAATGTAAGGAGAATTTTTCCTCCCATGGATCTCCAATGTAAAGGGCATTCTTCCTCCCATGGATCTCCAATATAAGGGGCATTCTTCCTCTTTCCATGGACCTCCAATGTAAGGAGCATTTTTCCTCCCATGGATCTCCAATGTAAGGAGCATTCTTCTTCCCATGGATCTCCAATTTAAGGGGCATTCTTCCTCCATGGACCTCCAATGTAAGGAGTATTTTTCCTCCCATGGATCTCCAATGTAAGGGGCATTCTTCCCCCATGGACCTCCATCTCCATGGACCTCCAAGGTTGGCATTTTTCCTCCAACGGACCTTTGGTTTCTTTCCATGGACCTCCAATGTAAGGGGCATTCTTCCTCCCATGGACCTCCAATGTAAGGAGCATTCTTCTTCCTCCAATGGGGGCACCTCCAAATGTAAGGAGTAATTTTTCCTCCCATGGATCTCCATAGATTCTCCAATGTAAGGGGCATTCTTCACAATGTAAGGAGCATTCTCCCATGGACCTCCAATGTAGTAAGGAGCATTTTTTTGCTCCCATGGACCTCCAATGTAAGGATTTTCCTCCCATGGACCTCCAATGTAGTAGCATTTTTCCTCCCACGGACCTTCAATGTAAGGGACATTCTTCCTCCCATGGACCTCCAATGTAGTAGCATTCTTCCTCCCATGGACCTCCAATGTAAGGAGCATTTTTCCTCCATGGACCTTCAATGTAAGGGGCATTCTTCCCTCCCATGGATCTCCAATGTAAGGAGCATTTTTCCTCCCATGGACTCCAATGTAAGGAGCATTTTTCCTCCCATGGACCTCCAATGTAAGGGAGCATTCTTCTTCCCATGGACCTTCCAATGTAAGGAGCATTTTCTTCCCATGGACCTATGTAAGGGGCATTCTTTCCTCCCATGGACCTCCAATATAAGGGGCATTCTTCCTTCCTGGACCTCCAATGTAAGGAGAATTTTTTCCCCCCCATGGATCTCCAATTTAAGGGGCATTCTTCCTCCCATGGACCTCCAATGTAAGGAGCATTTTTCCTCCCATGGATCTCCAATCTCCAAAGTAAGGGGCATTCTTCCTCCCATGGACCTCCAATGTAAGGGGCATTCTTCCTCCCATGGACCTCCAATGTAAGGAGCATTTTTCCTCACATGAACCTCCAATGTAAGGAGCATTTTTCCTTCCATGGATCTCCAATGTAAGGGACATTCTTCCTCCCATGGACCTCCAATGTAGTAGCATTTTTCCTCCCATGGACCTCCAATGTAAGTGTCAGGAATGGACTAGCCAGAAATGGTGGGGACTCACCTGCCTTTTGATCTGCAGTACCAGGGCTGGCCAGCGGGTGCTCCCAGCAATCAGAGACTCAACTTTGCAGCCAGCTAACACCTGGAACTGATTATGCTGGGGTATTTAAGGGATGGCCAGACTTGCAGACTCTGCCTTGGTGTTGTGTTCTCTTGGGCCCTGTATCCTGTTCCTGCTCTCTGTTCCTGTCTGATTCTCTGCTGACCCTGCTCTGATCCCTGGCTTTGTCTGACCATCCCCCTGCCTGACCCTCTGTACTACGCTGCTTGCTACCTGTTCTGATCCCTGGCTTGTGACCCTGACCATCCCTCCGCCTGACCCTCTGTACTACGCTGCTTGCTACCTGCTGAACCTGGCCTGTGACCCCGACCAATCTCCGCTTGCTCCCCCTGTGTACCTACCTGCCCTATTGATATTGACCCGGCCTGCCTGACGACGCTTGCTTGTATGTACTGTTATCTGTGGGTGGTTTTTGGTTTGGTTTGGTTTGCACTGTATTATGTTTAGTATTGCACTGCGTTTATGTTTGTATTGTTAGTGTTAATAAATTATATTGTTTATCACATATCTGAAGTCTGCGTTTCCCTGCGTCAGCACACACCTCTGGTCACACCTGGGAGCCCTGACATTACACCAAGGCCAATCCTGACCAGAAGTGGCTGCACAGGGAAGCCATCTTGGCTTGTTGATGGGAAGGATGGATCTGGATGAGGTTGCGTATTTATATCTGCTAGTGTTTGATGACAGGGAGTATGCTTATCAGACTCTGAAGGAGTATCCCCGGGATGAACTGCTAGAATGTATACGGATCGCTCATGTTCTAGTAGATCAGGGCACAGAGTTCTCTGAGGTGCAGCCTTTGATTGAGGTTTGTGCTGAGTTGGTTTCATCTGGTTCCCCGAATGCAGGGATGAATTTTTGCCACCATTTAGTGCAGACCAGGTAGGAGTCCCTGGTGTGGTTATTAGAGGATGATGTGGGTTACTTTCTGGAGCGTTATTCCACATGTTCACCACAGACACTAAGAGATTGTATAACGCAGTGCAGTCATTGACCAGACAGGCTTTGTGTAAGCTCAGCTTTGTTCAACCCATACTGCAGACATGGACAGACTTGTTGCACCCAGCCTCAGTCAGCTTACAAAGACCCAGTCCTGCTTCTAACTCTACTCCTGTATTCCCACCAGCTCCTCCAGTTACAGCCCAGTATACTTGGCTATCTACCGCATGTCAGTCCCCTGTTCCCACTCGCTGCACCTATCCTGCCTTTAACCCTGTAAAAAAGCCCTCTGTAGCAACTGCTCCCTCTCCTGTTCCATCCTCCAGTTCTTCTCTGTCTCCCAGCTGCTCCATTCGTTTGCAGACCTGCGTTTACTTGCAGTGCTCCAGTAGTTAAAACCAGAAAAAAAAAAGCGAAAATTCTTTCCAACCAATACCATCCTGCCAGTATCCAAACCGGTGAGCCTGCCTTCCGTGACTCAGCCTGAAGCCTCTACTCAGCCTGATGCCTCTACTCAGCCTGAAGCCTCTACTCGGCCTGAAGCCTCTACTCGGCCTGATGCCTCTACTCAGCCTGAAGCCTCTCCTCAGCCGGATGCCTCTCCTCAGCCGATGCCTGCATTCAGCCTGATGCCGCTACTCAGCATGATGAAAAACTGATCCAGCCCGACGATCCTATTAGGCCAGTTGACTCGATGCCCGCTGTTGATCCGGTACCTGATCCAGTGCCCCGCTATCGTGCCAATTGACTCAGAGCCCGCTGTCATACCTGGTGACCCGGTGCCCACTGCCTTGCCAGATGACGCGGTGCCCGCTGGCAAGCCAAATGACCTGATGCCTGGTGACCCAGTGCCCGGTGGACATACCTGATGACCCGGTGCCCGCAGTCTTGCCAGACGGACTCGGTGCCCGCAGTCTTGCCAGACGACTCGGTGCCCGCAGTCTTGCCAGACGACTCGGTGCCCGCAGTCTTGCCAGACGACTCGGTGCCCGCTGTTTGCCGCCAGTTGACTCGGTGCCCGCAGTCTTGCCAGACGACTCGGTGCCCGCAGTCTTGCCAGACGACTCGATGCCCGCAGTCTTGCCAGACGACTCGGTGCCCCGCAGTCTTGCCAGACGACTCGGTGCCCGCTGTTCCGCCAGTTGACTCGGTGCCCGCTGTTCCGCCAGTTGACTCGGTGCCCGCAGTCTTGCCAGACGACTCGGTGCCCGCAGTCTTGCCAGACGACTCGGTGCCCGCAGTCTTGCCAGACGACTCGGTGCCCGCAGCTTTGCCAGACGACTCGGTGCCCGCAGTCTTGCCAGGCGACTCGGTGCCCGCAGTCTTGCCAGAACGACTCGGTGCCCACTGTTCCGCCAGTTGACTCGATGCCCGCAGTCTTGCCAGACGACTCGGTGCCCGCAGTTCTGCCAGTTGACTCGATGCCCGCTGTTCCGCCAGTTGACTCGGTGCCCGCAGCAGTCTTGCCAGACGACTCGGTGCCCGCAGTCTTGCCAGACGACTCGGTGCCCGCAGTCTTGCCAGACGACTCGGTGCCCGCAGTTCTGCCAGTTGACTCGATGCCCGCTGTTCCGCCAGTTGACTCGGTGCCCGCAGTCTTGCCAGACGACTCGGTGCCCGCAGTCTTGCCAGACGACTCGGTGCCCGCAGTCTTGCCAGACGACTCGGTGCCCGCTGTTCTTTCTGCCAGTTGACTCGATGCCCGCAGTCTTGCCAGACGACTCGGTGCCCACTGTCGTGCCTGGTGACTCGGTGCCCGCCGCTTCGCCTGGGGGCCCGAGACCTGTTTGCTCCGCCTGAGGGCCCGAGACCTGTCGCTCCATCTGGGGGTCCGGCGCCCGCCGCTCGCTCCGCCTGAGGGCCCGAGACCTGTGTTGCTCCATCTGGGGGTCCGGCGCCCGCCGCTCCGCCTGAGGGCCCGAGACCTGTCGCTCCATCTGGGGGTCTGGCGCCCGCCGCTCCGCCTGGGGGCCCGAGACCTGTCGCTCTTGCCGCCTGGGGGCCCGAGACCTGTCGCTCCACCTGGGGGTCCGGCGGCCCCGCGCTCCGCCTGAGGGCCCGAGACCTGTCGCCCCGCCTGGGGGCCCGATGCCTGTCGCCCCGCCTGGGGGCCCGATGCCTGTCGCCCGGCCTGGGGGCCCGATGCCTGTCGCCCGGCCTGGGGGCCCGATGCCGGTCGCCCGGCCTGGGGGCCCGATGCCGGTCGCGCCCGGCCTGGGGGGCACCGATGCCGGTCGCCCCTCCTGGGGGCCCGGCGCCTGCCCCCCGGGGGACCCGGTGCCGGTCGCCCCACCCGGGGGCCCGGTGCCTGTCGCCTCGCCCGGGGCCCGGTGCCTGTCGCCCGCCCCGGGGGCCCGGTGCTGTCGCCCCCCCGGGGGCCCGATGCCTGTCGCCCCCGCCCGGGGGCCCGGTGCCTGCCGCTTGACTCCGCCCGGGGGCCCGGTGCCTGCCGTTCCGCCTGGTAATCCGATGTGCCTCTGCCCGGAGTCCTGCCCGATGTGCCTCTGCCCGGAGTCCTGCCCGATGTGCCTCTGCCCGGAGTCCTGCCCGATGTGCCTCTGCCCGGAGTCCAGCCCGATGTGCCTCTGCCCGGAGTCCAGCCCGATGTGCCTCTGCCCGGAGTCCAGCCCGATGTGCCTCTGCCCGGAGTCCAGCCCGATGTGCCTCTGCCCGGAGTCCAGCCCGATGTGCCTCTGCCCGGAGTCCAGCCCGATGTGCCTCTGCCCGGAGTCCAGCCCGGAGTCCAGCCCGATGTGCCTCCCCGGAGTGCCCGGGTGCCCGGATGTGCCTGCCCGATGTGCCTCTGCCCGGAGTCCAGCCCGATGTGCCTCTGCCCGGTGTGCCTTTGCCCAATGTGCCTCTGCCCGGTGTGCCGCTGCCCGGAGTCCTGCCCGGTGTGCCAGTCTTTGATATCCCCGCCAGTTACCAGACCCGGGCGGTGGAACATTTTGCCCAGCTAGGACTGTTTGGAGTGTCCTGAGGCCGCTCCTTGAGGGGGGGGTACTGTCAGGAATGGACTAGCCAGCAATGGTGGGACTCACCTGCCTTTTGATCTGCAGTACCAGGGCTGGCCAGCGGGTGCTCCCAGCAATCAGAGACTCAACTTTGCAGCCAGCTAACACCTGGAACTGATTATGCTGGGGTATTTAAGGGATGGCCAGACTTGCAGACTCTGCCTTGGTGTTGTGTTCTCTTGGGCCCTGTATCCTGTTCCTGCTCTCTGTTCCTGTCTGATTCTCTGCTGACCCTGCTCTGATCCCTGGCTTGTCTGACCATCCCCTCTGCCTGACCCTCTGTACCACGCTGCTTGCTACCTGTTCTGATCCCTGGCTTGTGACCCTGACCATCCCTCTGCCTGACCCTCTGTACTACGCTGCTTGCTACCTGCTGAACCTGGCCTGTGACCCCGACCAATCTCCGCTTGCTCCCCCTGTACCTACCTGCCCTATTGATATTGACCTGGCCTGCCCGACGACGCTTGCATGTATGTACTGTTATCTGTGGGTGGTTGGTTTGGTTTGGTTTTATATTGTATTATGTTTTAGTATTGCACTGCGTTTATGTTTGTATTGTTAGTGTTAATAAATTATATTGTTTATAACATATCTGAAGTCTGCGTTTCCCTGCGTCAGTCACACACCTCTGGTCACACCTGGGAGCCCTGACAGTAAGGGACATTCTTCCTCCCATGGACCTCCAAATTTAGTAGCATTCTTCCCCACCATGGACCTCCAATGTAAGGAGCATTCCTCCCCCCATGGACCTCCAATGTACATGTTGTACTCCTTACCGCGGTACTCTATACATTGTGTTGTCCGTTACATAATCCTGTCCACTGCACTAGGTATGTTATGCTTAAAGTGGATGCATGAAGTTAAAAAAAAACCTTCTGTGTGCTGCCCCCCCCCCCCCCCCCCAGAGCCCCCCAATACTTTCCTCAGCCGATCCAATGATGTGCAGGAGAACAGCTGCTCCCCCAGCTCTCTCTTTTCTCATTGGCTGAGACAAAGCAGCAGGAGCTGTCAATCACAGCCAGAGGGCGCGGGATACAGGACTGAGCCATTCTCTCTGTGTCCCATAGACACACAAAGGTGGCTCAGGAGCGAGCACGCATGAGTGTCCCCAAAACAAGTGTCTTGCTCTTGGGGCAATCAGCAAGGGGGAAGGGCCAGAGGTCAAGAACACCAAAAGAGGAGGATTGGGACTGCTCTGTGCACAACCATTGCACAGAGCATGTCAGTATGATGCATTTATTATTAAAGACAAAAAATACGAACCTTTAACACCACTTTACCATTTCCTACTGCTGACCACGGCACTGTATGTAATATGTTGTATGTTACACATCCCGGAATGCTGCACTGTATATAATATGTTGTATGTTAGACATCCTGGAATACTGCACTGTATGTAATATGTTGTATGTTAGACATCCTGGAATACTGCACTGTATGTAATATGTTATATGTTACACATCCCGGAATACTGCACTGTATATAATATGTTGTATGTTAGACATCCCGGAATACTGCGCTGTATGTAATATGTTATATGTTACACATCCTGGAATACTGCACTGTATGTAATATGTTGTATGTTAGACATCCTGGAATACTGCACTGTATGTAATATGTTATATGTTACACATCCCGGAATACTGCACTGTATGTAATATGTTGTATGTTACACATCCCGGACTACTGCGCTGTATGTAATATGTTGTATGTTACACATCCCGGACTACTGCACTGTATGTAATATGTTGTATGTTACACATCCCGGAATACTTCCCTGTACAGGTCAGGTTGGGTGACAGAAAAGTAGCTAAAGACCTTAAATCCAGCTAATCTTCAAATAGGACACCTGGTGACAACTCTGACACCCATGTCTGACACCTGGTGACAACTCTGACACCCATGTCTGACACCTGGTGACAACTCTGACACCCATGTCTGATACTCGGTGACAACTCTGACACCCATGTCTGATACTCGGTGACAACTCTGACACCCATGTCTGGCACTCGGTGACAACTCTGACACCCATGTCTGGCACTCGGTGACAACTCTGGCAGCTATGTCTGACACTCGGTGACAACTCTGACACCCATGTCTGACACTCGATGACAACTCTGGCAGCTATGTCTGACACTCGGTGACAACTCTGACACCCATGTCTGATACTCTGTGACAACTCTGACACCCATGTCTGACACTCGGTGACAACTCTGATAGCCATGTCTGACACCTGGTGACAACTCTGACACCCATGTCTGACACTCGGTGACAACTCTGACACCCATGTCTGATACTCTGTGACAACTCTGACACCCATGTCTGACACTCGGTGACAACTCTGATAGCCATGTCTGACACCTGGTGACAACTCTGACACCCATGTCTGACACCCGGTGACAACTCTGACACCCATGCCGCACCACAAACCACACCAACGCCATTTTCCAAGAACATTTCAGCTCTGCTGATGCATTTTGTGCCGATCCACAACTAATACCAAGCCAAAGGTTAGGCTGGACTCACACGACAACTATTATTGTTACTAACGATTATTATTATTATTGTTTTAGTTTTTTTTTTTATAATTTTTTTATTATTTTTCAATGTATTTGAGTTTCTCCAGCTGCAGAATGAGAGTCTCGGCTGGTTTCTGGGATGAGAGGATTTCTGCCGCCGTACAGCTGCATAAAACCGAGTAAAAGCCGAGATATAAAAACATATAACATGCAAAAAAAAGAAGAGCGAGGAAAACACATGGATGCCCGCTGTGCCTCTGATGGAGCAGTGCTGAGATCCTGAAAGCTAATTGTTTTCTGGGAGACATTTGTCACAATTTGCGCGGTAACAATGTATCAATTTTAGTCTCAGGTGGTGCGTTTCCTGACAGAGGCGGATAAAGGGGTCTCTGTGTGCATCAGACGGGGATTTCCATGTAAGTGGAGTTCGCCTCAAATGGAGCCATTTATTTGGATCACGGCTGCCGCATGACAACCTGGCATTTAATATCGAACTTATTTCAGCTTTAAAGGATAAAGAATCGTTCTTCACATCTCCGCTGATTTCCTGCATTGCTGGGCTCTGGGGGAGGAAAAAGGTCCAGAAATACACACGTCCTCTGCTGTCTGCAGCCCTATTAGATTGTAAGCTCCCGGGATCCAGCAAGGCCTCATCCTCTTGTATTGAATTGTATTGTTGCTGTATTGTCTCCCCTTCTGTTGTCGGTGCTGAATGATAATATACACATGTGCATACATGCTCCCGGGACCGTCCATCCCAGCTCCTGTCCAAGTATTAATGCTGAACTCCGGCCCGGCGATGCACCGATAAATCGACGGCCGAAATTTATCAGCCAAAAATAGTGTGACCGCCATTTTGCTGAAAACAGGTGGCAATAACGGCCACCAAAAATGTGCGATTTTTGTTTAGGGTGCGTTTTCATAGGTCATATGACTAGAAAAAACCTGCAACACGTATTTTTTAAATGCATTTTCAATGCATTTCAGGCCGGTTCACACCAATGAAGTTTGCGTTTTTGCTCCGTTTTGCAGTGCGTTTTAGGCGTTTTTGCACACACTTTTTTGGTTTTTTGTGTTTTTTTTTTTCAGCCAACTTGTTGATGGGCAGATTCAAAAATTCAAAACATATCAAAAACACAGCACATGCATTTTTGATGCATTTTCGATGCATTTCAGGCCTGGTTTACACCAATGCAGTTTGCGTTTTGTCCGTTTTGCAGTGCAATTTTTTGCTTTTTGCATGCCCCCAGACAAATCTTTTGATGTCTTTTGTGGTTTTTGAAAAAATTTTTTTTTTTTTCGCCAACTTGTTGCTGGGCAGATTAAAAATGCATCACACACGTCGACAGGGGTGTATCTACCGCGAGGCAAACAAGGCGTTTGCCTAGGGTAGCAATTTTTAGGGGGGCGGCACTGCCCCCAGAAGAAGGGACCTTGTGAGCAGCGGCGGACAGAGCCATGCAGGGCCGCCATCAAGGGGTACCTTTGGTACTCTTTCAGTGGCCCGGACAGCAGGAGGATCGATGTGGGGGAAGGCAGTTGCGGAGCGATGCTCCTGTACCTCTCCAGCAGCTGACGAGCCAGGACCAGGGGACAGCCTGGAGAAGGGAGAGGAGAGCCCGGAGGAGGTGAGCTGTGCTGTGTTCTGGGGGATCTCCCTGCCTCCCTCCCTACACTGATGGATCGTATGGGACTGCGCACATCTCCCCCCCCCCCTTTCTGCTGCCCGGAGATCAGCAGCCCTTGGTGCAGGTGTGTGTGTGCAGCCCCATACGATGTGAGAAATGAAGAGAGGGAAGAGAGAGAGAAGGGAGAGAGAGAGGAGAGAGAGAGAGGAGGGGAGAGAGAGTCGGAGGGAGGGAGGAGAGAGAGGGAGGAGAGAGGGGGAGAGAGAGAGGGGGAGAGAGGGAGGAGAGAGAGGGAGGAGAGGGGGGGAGAG